AAAGCATAAACGTCACGACTGCTGTAATAAATTTTCGTATCCGCGTGCGGATACTTTCCGAGAGAGAGAGAGAGAGAGAGAAAGCGCGGCGCTTCTTCCTCCTCCTTCTTTTTTCTGCTCTGTTCTTTCTTCCTTCTGTGCTTTCCTCTCGACCCTGTCTCGTGCTCGTTCATCAACGTGACTTTTAGAAACGCGCAGTTTTATAATAGGTCACACACAGCAAGGGTATAACCGACGAGGAAAATCTGGAAACGTCCAGCAGAGACTGGATTTATACTTCCTCTGTACGCGGCGGAAGGACTCTGACTCTGACTGAAAAGGGAACGAAGGGGACGAGAATGTCCGGAAGATAGCACTTGACTTGCGAAATCCCATCTGTTAATTGCCGTTGTGTGCTCAGGCGTCGCGATTCAGAACACGCCGCGGGGCTAGTCGAGAGCGAATTCGGTGATGAGAATCGAAACGGGTATCAGCGTGAGAATCCGTGTATCCGGACGAAGGGCGCGAAATGGCGTGAGGACTTAGCTCGAGGCCCAGGATCTCCCTACGCCTCGTTAGACACCTTGTTCCATATTTCGAAACGTATCTATGTACACGTATGTACGTATGTACGTAACACTCGGAGCTGAGCTCGGTGCTCTGAGCTCGTCGTCGCGCCGTAGCACGTTTTAATGGCCCATTCGCGGTCGCAGCCGTCGAGCGCGCAAAAAGGATTTGATTTTCAACTCGGCGACGACGCACGAGTGCTCGGCGCCGAGTTTCGTCAGAGCGATTAGGAAACGAGACAGACGAAACGTGCGAGCTCTGACAGTATCTGATTACGCTCCATTTTATCCCGTTGGACCTACGCGCCGTATATGTGAATAATTTCGCCGGCGATTGCGATTGCGATCGTCAAATCGTCGACGTTACGTTCGCAGCAGACTATGAACTTGGGCTACGCTTGATTAGCAGGGCAGAGCCGGGGCACTTGCGAGGTGGCCTGTGGAAATACCTCTCGGGAAGTTTCATCTTTGCCTTTGATACGTTGTAGAGGAGCTGCGAGTGAGAGACATGTATTTTTTTATGAGCTCCTTTTCGCGGTTGAAACAATCCTCCCTCGGAGCAAATTGTGAATTTTTGTCGGACCAAATTATGAGGCTTTCAGTTAGTTTTTAAGCACGCGCGCAATACAACTATTTTCTAAAATCGTAATTTTGGGACACGATTTGCAAACGCTGCGCGGTAAGTGGGCGAAGTACCAGACGGACAGACGCAACGCTCTTTGAGTATAGTTACAGACGCGTTGCGTTCGCCGCACTTTCGCGATACTTAGCTAGACATGGAGCGTCTACAGTTACATACAGCGTAGCGTTTAAAATTTGTATTCTAAAAATGCGTTCCGAAAAATGTTCTTGTTACTTGATGGTTGAATTTGACGTAAAATTCTCTTCAGTTGTCGCGTCATTGCAAAAACTATGCGAGTTGTTAAAATAATAACAAGAGGTAAAAAAGAAAAATATGCACGAATGTGTGTCGAAAGATATGAAATTTCCGACAAATCCGGACGCATAATTACACAACGCATCAAATATCATGACACTTTTCGTGGGAAACATTTTCTCATGGATCTCACGATCGAACATACGCAACTGGCTTCGGGAGGAAAAAAAAAGTTGTATCTCCTATCTTTAACCGCCCCACGATATATCGAAGATTCATCAACATCAGTGAGAGACACTTTGAAGTGTCTCCCTCACCGGTCAGAGCAAATCTTCAAAAATATCGAGGCAACTTGTAGATAATTCAATAAGCACTCGGACAGTCGCCGGTTAACTCGCGGGTACCCGCGCTAATTCCTCCGGTACTTGTAGAAACTACCCGACGACAGCGGCGAGCAATCATACAAATTACCAATGCCGATACCTCGATATTTTCGAGTCCGTCTAGTATCCCGACGCGACTAATAAAGTACTAACCGCGTAGATACTCCGCCGACAGCGCTTATTTATATTGCCGCGTTAATTGCACGTTGCATCGCAAATAATACCGGATGATATAGTATCAATTATACAAGTCCGGTTTTCCGGACGGCGCGACGCGTCGCGTCGCGGCGGGCAAACAAACGGGTCTCGTTAGACGTCCATTTTTGCGCCGTCACCTGCGTCGAGTGACGAGCGCGTTCTAAGCAAGCGTCACACACCGCGGGATCTGCATATCTCATACTTAATCGATGGAAATTGAGTTGTAGGGGCCGCGCGAGCGCGAGCGCGAGCGCGAGCGCGAGCGCGAGCGCGAGCGCGAGCGCGAGCGCACGTGCGCTCGCGCGGCTTATTTAAATTGTTGATCGCGCGGCGAGGGAGCCCCCCCGGTCATGAATCGTCGTCGTGCGGCGCGACGCGAATGAATTTGTTCGCATTATATGCAAACCACCGGCGGGCCGCGTTATCAATGATTTCGCAACGCGAAACTTGTCTCCTCCCTCTCCGCCCGCCCACCTAGCACTCGCAAAACCAGCGGCAGCGGCAGCGGCGGCAGCCGTCGGTCAATAATTACGCCGTCGTCGGACGCGCTATAAATCAATGCTCAGAGAGCCGAATGACGGGGACGATAGCCGATGATAATGCAAGCGCGCTCGAATGTACCGCTAATTGCACGCGCCACGTGGAGAATATATACGACGGCGGAGAGCGAGATTAGACGATCTCCCACGATAAACGCGCGGCGATTTCAGACATTCCGCCGGGGTCACTCCCGTGCGCTGCAATATCGCCGCTGCTGTTGTTCTGCGATCGGCTGCATAAAGGCTGTCCTCCGTTCATTCGCTATTCGTGAAAAATCTCGCCGATAATCTAAGGGAGATAGCCCTTCCGCAGCTGATAACACGCTTCGACCGCTTTAATTCCCGAGACAGAGAGAATGGCGGGGGCGGCATCTCGCTGTAACGCGGCGTCTCCTCGCGAATGCGGCCGCTTCGGGTATCATCATTAATACGTCCGATCGCGGGTATTATTCGCGCGCGCGCACACAGGAGACGACGAGCTCGGGAGATCTATCAGGCGCGATTCGGCCGCGATTTCGAACAGCGCGAATCGACGTTGCGACTCGCGCTGTTCTCTGTGACACACGTCTGACTCGCGGACTGAGGATAAGTCATGGAGTTCGTGAGAGCCCGAACGCGCGCGCCGGCCGTTGTCGCGCGATCAGGTGCGTTTACGGCGAACGCACGTTGCGCTGCGTGTATCGGCAGGTGTACGTGTATACGCGGCCGTAGTAAATATATAAACGCGCTCAAACTCGAGCGGCAAGTCGAGCGGTAATGGTCTCCACGCATCGCTCGGGAGTCTCCCAATGCGCGTTTCTCTCGGTGCGGCACCGTTATCGGCACGCTGTTAGGCGCGGTTAACCAGTCGCGGCTGTTAGCGATGATACACGGCGCATCCGATGTGTGCACGATGCGCAACAGCGGCAACACGACGCACACCTCGCACCCGCGATATGCCAGCGCGCCGCGCGATCGTGTATCTGGGAACGACGCGCGACACGTTTTCACAGCGGAATCGTCGCGACGATTTATCGAAACGAACGCCACTTGGAAGCTGGATGCTGGGCTGCAATCGCATCGGCCCGATCGCCGGCGAATAGTTTCTCGGTGACGCCCTTCGTCGGCGAGATTTCGGCGAGATCGCGAAATTTCTATCTATTATATTTTTACATAATTTACATAATTTTACATAATTTACATTACGAATTTTTACATAATCAAGTAGGCAGCGGAAAGTAGTGGCGATAGGCTTGAATAATCAGAGAGGAGGTCTCCACGTCTCGATAGTCATTTGAATGACTGAGGCTCTGCGGAAACGAGGCGGGTCGCCTCGTTTGTGTATTATTAAATTCGCGAGTGCGATCGACTGTCGTTCGCGCTCGCGAAGGATCCAGCTGAGCGCAGAAGCGACGAAGCGGGCGGGCAACGCGAAATCTCGCCGCGCGGAAGTATACGTTTAATCAAGAGATTAAATTTAGTTTTCCCAAGCCTCGAATGAGTTATGGCATTCTGCGGTGCTATCGATGCTGTTAGCGCGGTTAACCTGTTGGTTGTTAGCGATGATACACGCCACATTCAATGTATGCCTGCCGCTCGGCGCCGCAACCGACCAGTCTATACGATGCGATGTATGATTGGATCTAGGAACGAGTTCTCCCTGGGAAAAATTATCCGCGCGCAGCCATTTTTCGCGTATCGAAACGACTTTATCATTCAAACACGCGCGCATACTTCACGACCGATAGAAGCGGATGGCTACGTCGGCGACTCGAGCATATTTAATGAAATTTATCAACACTTTGGAGACGTTCTGTGAAATGAAATAATAAAATAACAGATATTAGGTGCATACGTTAATTCTCGGCCCCTACATTAAATCGACTACAAGCACCTGTTCGAATTGAATTTTTCCCCGCCGAGCAGTCGTTTTAAAGCGCCATCTCTAAGCTAGATACAAGAAAATAGAATAAACGACGAGCAGATGATAAAATAAGCACGACAAGGAAATAAAATAATAAGATAAAATATTACGCAAAACGTAAAGGAGAGTAAGTGCAGCAATAATAAAAGACTGTGGGAGGCATATATGTACAAAGGATTGTCTCTGTACACGGAGGTTTCTGCCGGAACACTCGGAACACTCGGAACGCAAGAGGAACGTAAAATTGTATTCGACCGGCAAGATTCAAATATGCCATACGCTCTCGTGCTACCTGTTCAAACACCGAGGTAGAGTCCAAGGAAAAGAAAGGAATGGTATCGCCGGAGGCGATTTGTTTCTTTATACAGGGGAAAATATATCCCCCATTTTGGCTGGTTGAATCACCGCGGCATTCAGCAGCAGTAGAGTGAGAGCAGTCTCGGTGTCACAGACGCGGACAATACTATCGCCGTCGCGGCGCTTTCAGACGCGCTCGTGAGATGGCAGCATCGCCTTGGTAGAGAGCCGTAACGACCGACCACGAAGAGAGGTAGTGGGAGAAGCGGTATGACGCAGATGCGCGTCTACGGTCGATCGAGTAACACGAGGGAACGGTTAGTGCTGCCTGAAACTTCGCGTTGAGAGAGGCTCACGTTGAGCTGCCGGCTTCTAGAACGCTTCACTGAGGCTTCGCGCTCGTGCCAGAACGAGATCCATCGAAAATTCGCCCGAGAAGGAATACAATAGCTCGCGAGGAGCGGGTACGTATATCGATCCAGTCGCCAACGTGTTCACCGCCGTCCGCCATATTGAGGCGAGTGTAGCGCTACGGATAGTACGTGGATGACGAAACTGTTTGTTTTTTTTTTAAACGAGAGCAACTAGAAACTTTTCACAGCGAGCCGAGCATGTGTTATCGGCGAGAAAAACTATTGATACATCAGACCGAATTATAATTTGAAAGTAACAATGGGTGCGTTCAGCGGAGAAAACCGCTCAGTGAGCGATTAGTGACTATTGGTCCTTACTGTTAGATCCTTACATTCAGACCAATAACGTTGACGAATTACTCAACAGTCGCGCAACTGTTGAGTGTCGTGAACGCGCACCCATTGGCTGCGTTCAGAGAACAAAGCGCTCGCTGAGCGCGATTAGTGGATCGATCCTACTATATTGGTCCTTACTGTTAGATCCTCATATTCAGACCAATAACGTTCACGAAAACCGTTGTGTTTTTGAACGTAGCCAAATGAAGTAGCGTCGAAATTTTGGACTATCGGTGTAGCCCAGAAAATTACTTCTTTGTTACAGACAAACGATCCATAGCTGGGGAGATCGATAAATGAGGATTAGATTTGTATACTGCGGTATCACCGCGACGAAAAGAACGAGAAAGATCGAATGAAAGAGGAAAAAGACAAAGGCGAGAAGAGAGGAAAGAGAGAGAGAGAGAGAGAGAGAGAGAGAGTAGAACGCTCTCATACCGCGCGCTTTGTACATAGTCGCGGCGTTTGAGCTTTGCCGTTGCTATCGAAAGATTCTTAAATTGCTCAAAGACTCGCGATTTGTCACAATGCCGTTCACGTTAACGGACACGATAGTGAGCCAACAGATAAACGAGCGTCTGTCCAGCATCTACAATCTTCTGCGTGAGATAGACACGCACCGCACTCGTTCCGAATTCAATCTCAACAATATCATGAAGACTCACGAGAAGGTCACGCCGGACGACAAGGTTTCCCTTTACTATCAGCAGAAACTGAAGAATTTGTACAACGCCGCGATACTCGATGCCCAGCAGGAAGAGGACGTCTTGCGCAGGACCCTCAGCAAGATCAACGAGATACGCGTCATACGAAACGAGTTTCGCATCCAGTCGAAGAACGCCGGCAACAAGGAGACCATCAGGCGCGGGGCTCTGATGAAGATGTTGCTCAGCACCGCGCAGACTTTGCCGCTCTACGTGGGTAAGACGCCTGGTGCTAAACCACCACCTCTGTGCGGCGCGATACCGGCCGAACCGTCGTACATCGCGAAGATGGGCGACATGGTGGCCGCCTTGGTCAAGCCAGGCTCCGACCAAGACGAGGAAAATTGGATACTCGCCGAGGTCGTGCAATTCAATCCCGCCACGAACAAGTACGAGGTCGACGATATCGACGAAGAGCAGAAAGTCCGTCACACGTTGTCGCGAAGACGAGTGGTGCCGTTGCCGCTGATGAGAGTCAACCCCGAGACCGACCCGCACGCCTTATTCCCGAAAGGCTCCATCGTAATGGCCCTGTATCCGCAAACAACCTGCTTTTATAAGGCGATCGTGAGCCAACTGCCGACCACCGCCACGGAGGAGTATCAGATCTTGTTTGAGGATGTCGAGTACAGTGACGGCTACTCGCCGCCGTTGAATGTCGCGCAGCGCTATGTGATCTCCATTAAGGAGGGCAAGAAAAATAAAAGCTAATGTCGATGGACGCAGTATTACTCGAGCCGTTATTAGTCACTTTTCGCAGTGTACAAAATGGCAGACTGAATTGGACTGATAGATCATAAGGAACTTGATGACATTACCGATAACGATGACGACGATGACTTACTCATATGTAATATATAACATATATATATATATAAGGATCTTTTTTAAAATTTCGCATCAACAATTTCTTTGGCGCCCCAAATCCTCTTGATCTCTTACGCTAATTATATATTAATCTAAATAAAGAGATGCAGAGTAATAAATTCATCGAAATACATAAATTACATATTTTCAACAATTCTCGGCTCCTCCGCAAACTGCGTCAATGAGCCTCGCGCACTGCGCTCCCACTGTTGTCGTCTCGATGTCGTCAACGCTGATCTGCGATAAATCAACGCAGCGGTCTTATCAACGCAGCGAGCTGACACGCTCGCGGGAGAAAAATAGCCACGTACTGACAGTTAAGATCCTATTTCCGCAATGTTGTCCATCATCGGCGTAATTGACGTAGATTATAAGACGATAATAGCGGTATCCTTATGTACGCGGGTGGACCTGAACCTGGACTCCGCTGACCTTTCGCGGAATCGGTTCTCCGTGACTGTCCGAGTAATTTCTTCCTATACGGAATAAATCTTTCCCTCGATGCGCGCGGCCGCGTCACGAGCGCGAGACAAAGATAGGTAGAATGGGCGGAGGGAAAATGGGATAAAGGGATGGCGATGGGAGGAAAGGAGAGAGAGAGAGAGAGAGAGAGAGAGAGAAAGGAGGAGGAGGAGCGAAATGAAGCGGGAGTGAGCGAAAGCCTGCAGCAGCGAGTGCGAGAGCGGTTCGAAAAAGATAGAGGACGAAAGAGGGAGTACCGCGCAATAATTGATTCCATAATCGGCGGCTGCCGCCAGACATCAAAGCAACTCTGGTATCCCCGAGCCGAACCCCCAGCAGACCGGCCCAGCTAGCCAATCCTCATTCATTATTTAACTTAACTACCCCCGCATCGGGGGAGTCATAAAAAAGTACTTTGATTCAGCACACGTTGCGGACATGGTGTTTTCGCCATTTTCCTCGAAATTAATCCTGGAAAATTTTCATTGATTTCTGGCCGCCGTTCGGATGGAACCTACCCGTTGAATAACGCGTATCGGCGGAGGGGCGGGGAGGCTTTTTAATTGAAACGCGAGGCTGGATCTGTCGCGCGAGCGAAATATTGTGCGTAATAATTAAGGACGAGCGACAACACGCGTGCTTTTGAACGCAGCTTTTGCAGAGCGTGTTCATTGCGAAAGAAACGCGCGTCATATGCGCGCGATGGCGCTTTATTTTCCTGCGCGCGCAAATCACGCGCGTTTCGACAAATAACGCGGAAAGAAAATGCGTGCGACTTTTCTCTCTCTCTCTCTCTCTCTCTCTCTCTCTCTCGCTCTCTCTCTCCCCCTCTTCCTCTCCCTCTCTCGCTCTTCCTTTCAGTTCTCGAATGACGTACCGATGCACCTAAGATAGAACGAATTATTCGGCATATCTCAGGTAAAGTTTCCGCTATCTTCAGCACGATTCTCGTAATAATAGAAATTATCTAGCCTGCGTAATGGCTTTTATACACCCCGCCGCGAAAGTTGTAACGACCGATTGTATCTACACTCTGCAGTAGTTTCTCTAACCGCATCGGAGCTCAACCCGAGAGCCCGAAGGTCGCGGCCGGGTCGCATGAATTTAGCAAAACGCGCGACCTCGTGCCTCCGAACCTTTTATCCACCCGGCCACAATCGAAATCGCGTTTGCGCCAGTAGTAGCAAAACGTACCACTTCCCAAGCGCGCCTTCCCACCGACTACCGACTAGCCGCTGTCGATTGTCCGATATCTTTCCACGCTTCCAGACGGTAACCGGCACTGTCGGCAGAAGCCATTCTCAGTTTGGGAATTAATTCAACCGGTGATTAGCTTTCGCGTCAGGGGCGAGTTCTCACCGAGGACGAACGACTTACGTGCGTTCGAACGTGTGTGTCCCTCCAGGTACGTCCGTGTGTCCGAGAGACCGACCGACGGCCCTGCGTTCGTTCGTACGGTGAGCCTAATACAAGTGGACCCGTAGCATGCGAGCAACCGGAAGCCAAGGCGAACTTGCACGCGAGCCATACTTTCCACCCCTGATCCCCGCGAAAGCAAGCTCTCCTTGCGCCTCTGCCGACCTCCTACGACTCGTTCTTACTCGTTCCAAGGTTCCTTCGTTCATTCGTTCCACGTCTCAGTTATCTGAGTAATACCTCTCCTCCGGCCTCGTTCGCCTCGCCCTCCTCCTTAGTTTTCTCTCTCTCTCTCTCTCTCTCTCTTCCTTCTCGTTCTCTCTTGCTCTCCCCTTTTCTTTTTCTCTCGTATTCCACTGCTGACCCCCTTCTTCCTCCATCGTTCTGTCGCTCTCTCGTTCCCTCTCCCGCCCGATCAGGGCAGGTTCACTTAACCCTCCGGTAATGGCGCGCTGTATTTTTCTTCGGCGCTCGTAATTACGCCCGTGCTCTCGCGAGCATATTTTATTTCGTTCCAGATCGATCGGTTACGACGCTGGTATCTGTCACTACCCCCTCCCCCGCCCTGGCAACCTGTTTCCTCTCGTCGCGCACTCTCCCTCCAGTTTTCTCCTCCCTCGCTCCCTTTCCCTCTCTCTCTCTCACTCACTCTCTCTCTCTCTCTCTCTCTCTCTCTCTCTCTCTCTCTCTCTTTCTTCCTCCCTCCCTCTATTCACCCCGGAGCCGGAGGCTTCATCCAGCGCGCAACGCGCACTACCCTCCGGCGACCATTAGTCTTTCTTTCGATAAATTGGCGGACCCGGAGTGATCGCGAGATGTCACCGCGGCGCCCTCATCTGTCTGTAACACGCATTTGTTAGACATTCGAACGCGACGCGAACACCGTCCCCGCTCTCTCCCGGTCCGCGGTAGATTACGGACATACCGATAATGATTTGGTAAGACGGAGCACACATGTTGCTTCTCACGCCTGACTGGTTGTTTCGAGCGCGAGCGAAGTTTTGGCCCCGCGCGCGCTCGACCAGTCATCCGGAATATTCTATCGATCGGATTCGCAACGACCGCCGCCCCCGCCACCGCTGCGTCTTTCGCAGCGAGCCATAATTTAGCGCTCTTGACTATGAAAGAGGTACGAAAAGATAAACCATGGCTGGCCCATTGAGACTTCACTAGGTTCGTTTAAGTAGTACTCGGGAGTTCATTGAATTATTGATACCGAGAGTAAATTGAAAATCGATAAGCGATCCGGTGCAATTTAACTTTGCGGCCGTTTCCCAGCGAGGAGTAGAGATGAGGAGAGAGAGAGAGAGAGAGAGAGAGAGAGAGAGAGAGAGGGAGAGAGAGAGAGAGGGAGAGAGAGAGAGAGAGAGAGAGAGAGAGAGGGCAGTAAGGGGTGAGCGAAGAGGGTGCGGAACTCGCACGTGGTGGGGGATTACGGGGCTTCTCGTGTGTTGGACGGGCTCCGGATTTTCATTTTTTAATTAATACGCCGAGCACAATGGTACCCAAGAGGTGGGATCGATAAGGCCGGCTAACGAGCTGCCAACCTCTAATCCAACTTTACCTCGAAAACTGTCGGAACTCTTATACGACGTGGTAATGAGTTCTAGCCGTTGAACGGAAGAAAAGTCACGATGTTAATAGCTTCTGCCTTTGACTACGAGGAAGAAGAAAAAAATCGCGCCGTATGAAACAGACGGCGACGGCGGTAACCGGACAGCAAAGGGGCTCCGCGAGCGAACCGAGCGGTTACGAGCTCTCCTCGGGGAGGACACGTGCCGTCGTGGATTTCGTTTAGCCTCGTTTAGCTGCGCGGCCAGACCGAGGAAATAAAGCACCGCCGGTAAACGGCCCGAGGGTGAGGGGCAGGGGCGAGGAATACCGGATTCGATTCCGCACCTATCGGGTTTCGCGTAGCGCAATTTCTTCCCCGAGACCACAATGCCATGTTCCGCGAGCGGATGTGCGCCACGCCGCGCGCGCGGCGTTTTCCCTCTTTTCCGGCACGCCGCGGTTGCTCCGCGCGCGAGACACTCAGACGAGAAACGATAGCAGCCTTGCATCGCCGCTGCTGTGTGCAGTCGACTGCGCACAGCAGAGTGCCACGTACTTTTAAAGTACCGCATCTCGAATCGTCGTGCGATCGGCGCGGTCGTGCCGACGCGACTCAAACGCGACGATATCGCCGAGGAAATCACGTCGTCGTCGAACGAAAATCGCCCGCTCTCGCGGGTTAGAGTTCTCGAGCATAATTGCGAACGATTTTGGGCTTGAGGTGGAGACAAAGAGAGAAGGATATTCTCCCCCGAAACGGCGCGTTTGCATCGCGTCGCTCCGGCCGAATCGAGAGATTGTTCTTGCACTCTTGCGTCTCGCGATAATCTCGTCGGCGTGAATTTTTCTCCGTATTAGCTATCGGCCGCTAGACGCGTCTCTTTGTCGCGGACAGAACGGAGCGCTGTGCGTAATCGCGTATACTCAAATTACCAATTCAAGTGCCGGTGGGCGCGAATACGAGAGATATAAGAGACACGACTGACGACCGGCGGCGTAATGCCACGGCCGTAAGAGACTCGCGACATTCTCCAGCTGTCAATGGCAGAACCGGAGCGCTTTCTTACCGCGCCGACAACGACGACGACGACGACGACGACGACGACGACGACGACGACGCTCACAATCCGGTGCCGGCAATCCGTTAAGTTTTTCGTCAAGCAGACGCATTAGAAGGCAAAAGGGAAAGGCAGACGCATTAACCGGAATGGTTCTCGTTTACATATTTCAACCGAGGCATCTGTCTCACAAGCTGTCTCGCAAGCTTTAAACATTTCGACGCCCGACATCGAACGTTCAACGTGGACGCTATCGCGGTGCCCGGAGGTCGAGAGGCGATCGGAATAATTCATAGGCGCCCGGCACCTCGTTAATTAATTGCGTTGGCCAATGAAGGGCGGTTTAAAACTTCCTTCATAATTCAGGAGCATAATCGGTTATCGCGGTTATTACGGCGCGACACGGCACGATCGCCGATGAAATCAGCGTTTACAGGCGATTTTACGGCGCTTCACTGATCCGCGAAGGAATTTTCATCCCGCGGAAGTCGCTAATTACGATTGTCACATGAGCGCTCTAGCAACCGAGTGATATTTCAGTTTCGATCCATTACGGAATCGGGAGTTCAATGGTAGCGCG